TGCATGTGGGGTGCATGCTTTCATGATGTTTCCACGAAATTCTCACTCTGCCATCTGCATGATGCAACTGGAAATGTGATTCATCGAACCACATGAATTTTTTCCAATATTTGAGTGTCCAATCCTGTGTTCTTGTGTGAATTGAAGACGTTTTTATCTTGGTAACTGCAGATAGCAAAGGTGTTCGAACAGACCTTCGGCTTCCATATCCCATAGGTTGCAGGGTATGGCTAATTTGCCTACAAATGTCAGGTGGTCATATTAATCTGGCCACTCAGTGTACATATTGACTGTAGGCCAGGCTGCAGCGCCCAGTGAGTAATAGCCTCTTCCCCTTGACCCTGTCCCCTCCTAAGTTCTCTACCCCAACTTCTTTATCAAAATCATATGAAAACATGTGTTAACTTATATTTTTCTCATGAAGCTCCTTAAAAAAATAAAACAAAAAGGTATATTGTACATAGTAAATGGAAGAGGGGATCAAGACATATCAAGTATTGGTTGTGGCTCTAATGATTTTTCAGAGCCAAAAACACCTAGGAAGATGATATTACATAGAAATAATCATGGTTGGGCTGAAACCGGTTTGGCTCAGTGGATGGAGCATTGGTCTATAGACAGAAGGGTCCCAGGTTCGATTCCGGTCAAGGGCATGTACCCTGGTTGTGGGCACATCCCCGGTAGTGGGTGTGCAAGAGACAGCTGATCGATGATTCTCTCTTATCTATGTTTCTAACTCTCTATCCCTCTCTCTTCCTCTCTGTAAAAAATCAATAATATATATATATATTTTTTTTTTTTTTAAAGAAATGATCATAGTTGGGCCATAGGACAGTAATTGCGACTCTGCAGAAAATCAGTTCAGCAACTTTCTTCTTAAAGATGACAGCTTATTTTCATAAATGAAAACCCAACAATAAAAATTAAACTCCTTTTCTAAGAAATAATTTAGCCTACTAGAATGACCAAAATATAATTTTCTACTTTTTATCTGTTGAATTGAATCCTTTATATTAGTTTGAGAATAGTTACTTATGTAATAAAAAAATAAATAAAATTAATATTCTGCACTTCTGGCTCCTTTCGCAAGAAAAACATCATTACCTTTCTGATTGTGTTTAGAACAACAAACACAGGTCCTTCAGGAAGAAACTTATCCCGTGGGGATTGGGAAAGGATCAGAGTTAAGCACTGAAACAAGCAATTAATTCCCATTAGAGGATTAAGGCAGTCATGTTCACTTTGAATCAGAAAAAGGAATTGTGAATAAAATCATGTACAAGCAAGAGGTTACTTGTCAAAGTTAATAAATTAGAGAATTGAAGGGCAAACTGGAATGCATAGAAGCTGAGCAGCCAATGCTGCCCTGGCGAAGAACTGGTGGGCTCTGTAATCACGGACAAGGCCCACGATTCTCAGAGAGCTTCGGGAGCATGGGGGTGGGGACAGCCACCGCCATCTGGTGCTGTCTGAAAGCACTGCCCACCCTGTTCTGTCACCATCCCCCAGGCACGATTTCCCTCTGGCACCTCCTCATTAAGACGTGAGACATTAATTAACATTCTATTTAACAATTTTACTCTTGGGTTTTAGAGTTGATTCTAAAGGAATTTAAGCAGCATCTCTATAAACAACTTTACCAACCTATAAAGGATTGAGTGGGAGGTCACTTGGGAATCAAAAAGCCCAACCCAGCTGGTCTGGGATAATGTGGCCATCCAGGAGTCAGCACAGAGGTGGAACAGGCTCGGAGTCGAAAAAAGTTTCACTTCAGCAAAATTTGGCTAGTTTAACATTGTCAATATTTAAGAAAACAAAAACACTCATGAAAATGTCCATCTGGCCTGGCACTGCTTGAAATGCCTGTCACTTACTCAGCAGTTTTCCTTCTTGAAACACAGTCCACCTACAGTTTCATATTTCATCACTTAAGCAGAAATTGAAAGTGATTACAGTTCTTTGCATAATTGTTAGGGGAAAAAAAATTGAGCAGGAAAAATCTAAGCCACCTGGTGGTAAGAGTGTAAAAGGCAGGATTTAAGAGTTCATTGTGCTAGTTTTCAAATGACAACGACTGCATATGCCTAGACCACATTTAGAAACATACACATACCCAAGTGAACCAAACAAGAGAAGTGCTAGTATTTAACTCTTTTTAAACCAATCTGCAAAAGATTTACATGGACACCAGCTTCTACTCTGAAAACAACCTTTAAAAAAAGGTGCCTCCATAAAATATTCATCCTGTCTGTATTAAAATTTAATGATATGAAGAAATATTAGTAAAAGCTGTATGTAATCACTTCAAACTGTTTTCTCCAAGCGATAAAACATCAAACCACTAACTCTACCCAGTTTCACTCAGTGAATAGAGCGTTGGCTTGCAGACTCAAGGGTCCCAGGTTTGATTCTGGGCAAAGGGCACATCCTTGGTTGCGGGCACATCCCCAGTAGGAGGTGTGCAGGAGACAGCTGATTGATGTTTCTCTCATTGATTTTTCTAACACTCTATCCCTCTCCCTTCCTCTCTGTTAAAAAACAACAACAATAAAATATATAAAATAAAACAAAACATCAAACCACTAACAATGCTTTCCCGCTTGTTGCCAAGTTAAGACTGTTTGACTGCATTGGGGTCGCTCGAAGTTAAGGCCTCCAAGGAGCCTGCTGTGCACTCACCACTGGCTGGACAGCGGACTGTTCCCGAGCAGAAGCACCTGCCCGAAGAGCTGCCAGAAGCTTCTCTTACCTGTCCTGCCACTTGCTGTATAAATTAGCTCTCATCGTCCAACATCTTCCGTAAAAGTCCACTCCAGCAGAGCACTGTCCCCACCGAATTTGCGAGCCCTGTCACAGCTGAGGAACAGTTTCGGTGGAGCCACAGCAGACGTTACTGAGCGTGGTTGGATCTCGGTAAAAGCACAGATGACGCTGTGCATGGCTGCTCTAAAGAGGGTTTTTATTTTACAGAAACCTCACAGCTCAGTCAAGTAGCCACTTCTCTCCCTATTTTTTTAAAAAAATATATTTTTATTGATTTTTTACAGAGAGGAAGGGAGAGAGATAGAGAGCTAGAAATGTCGATGAGAGAGAATCATTGACCAGCTACCTCTTGCACATCCCCCACCGGGGATGTGCCCACAACCAATGTACATGCCCCTGACCGGAATCGAACCCGGGACCTTTCAGTCCGCAGACCGACACTCTTCCACTGAGCCAAACCGGTTTCGGCTCTCCCTTCCTATTGTAATGTTATTTTCCCCTGGGAAAATGCCGTGTGTCTGATGTAGTTACACACTAATTCCTCAGAAGTTCCTTGGAACTGTAGGAAACAGGTAAAAAAACAAAATGCCCTGAACTTTAAACTGGAGTTCGGCCTGCGAGCATGAAGCGCTCCAAGGTCACGTCAACTCGCCCCTCGGGGGCCGGAGAGGTGGAGGGACGGGGACAGCCAGGGGGGGATGGTCGGGGAGGGCTCAGGCATCCTGTGGGCCCTGTGACGCTTGCATTCTCCAGCTGGTTGGTTGCTCTATAGCAATGACAAGCGCTTCTTGCCCAGCCCACCCTGCTGAATACCCCGGAAATGTTCACGGCAAACACCTTCCTTACATTAACCAAGCAGCTCGGGTGAAATGGCTGGAGTTGAAATCAAGAAGTGAGGGCCTCACGCCCATCTCTCCCTGCACTCCCCCTGCACACAAACGGGCCCGCAGGGTCCCTGGCCACTGCACGCTGCCTCGGCGCCCATCCTGTGGGGTGTTACTCTGGGGCCATGCCAGAAATTTTTCAAAGAAGAAATCTTACTGCTGCACCACTTTAACTATAATTGTGTTGTCGTTTTAAAAGCATGGTGACCAACAAGGGAGATGGCCAGCCCCCAGGCCCTCTCTGATAATCTGGAGAGGACCAGCAGGAAAATTCCCAAACCCTGAGTCAGGAAAGGGTTCTATGAAATGGAGGATGGTGACCTGGCCAGGCCTGCCAGGGCCGCGGCTCCAAATACCGGGCACAGCCGGGGGTGGCGGTGCAGCCAGCTCCCGGGCTCCCAGGGCTCCTGGCAGGAGGTGCAGGAAGCGCTGGGCTGGAACACCAGTCCGGGCGGAGACAGCACGGGAGCCTGACAGCAGGGCTGAGGCCCAGAGAAGAGGTGCGAGAGTCATCGTCATGAAGCGCCTGCCTGCCCTGTGGGTGAGGCTTCTGGAACAAGATTACCTGCTGGCCACCTGGGGCTGAGAGGGGAAAATATAAATAACGCTGGCCCCCATGACTGAGAGTATTTACTGTGTGCCTGGCCCACACCGTATGTTTCACTTATATTTTCAAGCTAACACAACTTCGAGATCTCCTCGCTGCCTAGCTTCTCCCCGTTTTACAGATGGGGCTCTGAGACAGAGGTGAGGTGGCTTCCACAGGTGTGTCTGCCTTCACCCCTCCTTCCTACCCTGCAAAGCTGGGCCCTCAGCTCTAGGAGGGGGACACTCCTGATTCCCTCCCGCCCAACACTCTGGCAGGAACAACCTCCAGCCAGCAGAGGGCAACAGGCAGTTGGCTTGGGCCTCTGCCCACACCAGGTTCCATGGGCATCTCGGGTACTTACTGAGCACCAAACACACACGGGGCAGTGGGCTGGGGAATCCGCAGTCTAGTGCGGCCACCGTGCTGGAACTCCTAACGATTGTACCTGTGTAAGCGGGGCCTGAGGACACTAGAGCGCACTCCAGTGAGCAGGGAGGTCAGTGCAGCCCTGCAGGCATTCCCCTTCTCGGTGCCCACAGCATGGAACCCTGGGGGACCCGCAATGGATGGGATTCAGTGAGGAGGAGGTAACGTCTCACATCTATGACTGGGTCCGCCCGAGGGGCCACACTTTCCACTCCAAGCAGAACTTGCTCTGAACGCAGGAGAAACAGTTCAACCACAAGCCTACCCCATCTTCCTGTGGACCAGACGGCCACACACAACAAGGAGGATGACACAGAGGGCAAGGGGGCTCAGAGTACCTCGCGTTTCTCTTCCTTCCAGTCTTTGCTCCATCGTCAGGAGCTGAGGGCGGGCAGTGTTGGTAGAATGTACATATATCAAGAGGTGAGGTACAGTAGAGAGTGTTCTAACCAGAGTTCCCAGTTCTGTTAAAAATAAAAGACATGCATGCACAAGTTATGGAATATCATTTCTGTGATTCCACACGAGTTAAATACTCCTATGTTTGCATTTAAATTTAAAATGGACATTGTACAATTATAAATATGAATGATAAGCTCAATACTAAGAATTTAATATAATAAATCATGGAAAATGACAAAATGTAAATGATAATAGCCCTAGCTGGTTTGGCTCAGTGGATAGAGCAAGGGTCCTGGGTTTGATTCCAGTTAAGGGCACATGCCCAGGTTGTGGGCTTGATCCCCAGTAGGGATAGATAGGAGATAGCCAATCAATGATTTTCTCTCTCTGCCTCCCTCTCCCTCTCCTACTCTCGCTCCCTCTCCCTCCACCTTGCCGAGGTGAGTGGGCATCTGAAGGAAATGGGGGCAGAGCCTGATTCCTGGAGATTTATACCCTGAGCAGTATTTGAATTTGTATTTTTTTGTGACTAAGAGAAATTGAGAAATTCCAGACTGAAGGCCTGCATGGTCTCTTTGGGAATTTGGACTGAGAGGAAGAACCACTTGCTTTACTGTAGCAGGTATTGAGTGCCTACTACATGCACGGAGCTGCTAGCTGAAGAGAAGGTTCAACCCCCACTCCTGAGCTTGTGGTTTGAGAAGCAGTTTAGAGAGAAATGCAGGGTCCCTTGTTCAGAAAGCAGAAAGAGGGAGAGGGAGAGAAAGAGGAAAAAGGAGAGGGAGAGGGAAAGAAGGACTCTCCCGGGGCCAGTTATCCCCTGCCCTGGCCCAGCCTCCCTGGGAGCAGGGGCAGAGGAAGCCCCTTACAGAGACAAAAGGCCATCTAGAACCTGCAAAACTAACCTCTAGGGACAGACCCAGATCAGTGGGGACAGGAAGATAGAAATGTCCTTTTGTCAAAATCACTAACCTGTGCACTTCATGGGTGAATTTTCTTGCATGTAAATTACACCTCAAAGAAAGTTAATCTAAAAAAAATTAAATGAGGTCATGGGAGGAAGGCAATCTGTAGGCCACTCAGTCTGTAATTATTATTATTGGTTTCTATTCTTAACTGAGTTCAACATACTTCACAGTCCATAACCAAGAGAAAACACGTATCTTTTATTTAGCATTTCCCCAAGCATCCAAGTAGTTCCAAAGTATTTCTGACGCAGACTTGCGGTGGCCTCCTTTACACTCATTCACTGTCTGGAACCCAGCAGGCAGTGAAACAGCGGACAGACCTGCCTGTAACCGCTGCCTGGGGTCCTGGGAGGAAGCAGCAGACAGGGAGAGCAGTCCTGGTATGATGGAGGGTGCAGGGCCCTCCGAGGGACAAGGACTGGGACCAGGATTCGGGCCTCACCAGCTTCCAGCACCCACCCAGGGCCTGTCTGACCACGCAGAGGCTCCGAGGCTGGCTGCTAAGAAATGCAGCAAACAACTTGCCCTTAAAAGTATTTTTGCAAGCCTGCTAGAGGAGAGTGCAGCTTTTAACTGACTTGCTGGCAGTTGTTCAAAATATATATATATATTTTTTTCTGTTTGGAACAAGACCCCAGTCAAAGGGGAGAGAGCTGAGGATCTGCATGGGCATCGGAAGGCCATCGGGTTTGGTTGAAGGCGGTAACTCCCATTCTACCTGTATGCCCCCACATGGTAATTTTTTTTTCTCTTGGTGACAACTCAGACAGAAAGCAATGGAGGGAAAGGTAATGACTATCTTAGTGTATCATTTATATACTAGAGGCTTGGTGCACGAAATTCGTGCACGGTTAAGGTCCCTAGACCTGGCATGTCATAGTGAGAGGTTGAACTCACAGTTGGTCAAACTCCGTAGGGGACAATTTGCATATTAGCCTTTTATTATATAGGAGGATTTTTATTGGCTTCAGAGAGGAAGAGAGAGAGAGTGACAGAAACATTGATGAAAGAAATCACTGATTGACTGCTTCCTGCACACCCCTCACTGGGGGATTCAAGCCATAACCCGGGCATGGGCCCTGACCAGGAATGAAACTACAACTTTCTAAATATAGGTCAATGCTCAACCACTGAGCCATGCCGGCCGGGTATAGTATATTATTTAAGAGGTTTTGTTTTTCAGGAACATTTTAAGGTTATATTAACTTAAAATGGCTTTTATTTAACTGTTTTTTGTTTACTTGGGTGAGAAATAAGGAGTTTGGGCACACCACGTAAATTTAAGCTAGAAGCATCACAGGATAATAATTACAAAATATCACATTGAACCATTCATTCCCTGCTAGGTAGCTTGCTAGCTAAATATTTTAGAAAGAAGAGAACATATACCTGTTTAAACAACTCTTAGATAACCATCTTAGAAGTCAGGCCTACCCCAAAGTGATAATAAAATAGCTATAAATGCAGGTGAAGCTCCTAGCTAGGCCTGGGCCCAGGCCCCCTACCTCAATATAGTATTTCACAGCTTTGGAGGAACAAGTCTCCCAGAGGGAGCATAGGACAGAGAGCCAAGGGGTCAGAGGTCAAAGCCAATCCACTGCGGACTCAGGCTCCCTTGTCCAGGCCAAGTGAGGCAAGGGCAGGGCAGGCGGCAGGAGATGGAAGGTGTGGTGGGCCTGGCTCGCCCAGGTCCCCAGGAGAGCCTCCCCAGGAACTGGGGACAGAACGAGTGAATCAGCAAAAAGACTGCGAGAATGGCCGCCAAGTCCAACCGCCAGCTGTCCTGGGACACCACCTACACTATCACAGGAACCCTGCGCGCTCGGAGACCACCAGCACAGGGGCCGTACTGGCCGCTCCAATGCCCCTCACCCGGCTCCCCTGCCTGCCGCTGGCCCAGGAACATGAACTAATCCAAATTCCATTTCCAGGGGGCTCTCCAAGTCAGGGCCCAATTCTTCTTCTTCTTCTTCTTTTTTTTTTTTTTTTTAAATATATTTTAGTGATTTTTTTACAGAGAGGAAGGGAAAGGGACAGAGAGAAACATCAATGAGAGAGAATCATCGGCCAGCTGTCACCTGCACACCTCCTACTGGGGATGTGCCCGCAACCAAGGTACATGCCCCTGACCAGAATCGAACCTGGGACCCTTGAGTCCGCAGGCCGATGCTCTATCCACTGAGCCAAACCGATTTTGGCATAGGGCTCAATTCTTTTGGAAGCAATAAAAGATTTACCTTCGGAATTTCCTTTTGCCAAAAATATTATTAAACAGCAAAAATGTTGTTACCTGGAGAATGTCAGGTAGGCAGGAGGAATGCAACCTCCATTAGTGCCAGCAAAGAATCACCCCAACACACACACACACACACACACACACACCCACACACACACACATTTTAAAACATTTTTTAAAAGGAAACTTAAAGAAAAACACACCAGAACACAGAACACAAAATAAGCCTGGTGGGTTTTTTGATTACTTACCTGCCCCCAAAGCACCCAAATCTTTTCGTGCTTTTCTAATTATCCCCGAGTAAAACTCAATAAAAATAGCTGCGAGATTAGTGAGAACTCTGAATTGGAAGAGGCGAGTAGGAGAAGAAATTAAGAGCGTGTTATTGAATATGCTTTAAACACGTTAGTGAATCCGTTTACTCACGTCCCTGTGAGTACTAAACACAGCTGGCCACTGTTTGCTGACAGCAGTCAGAATGCTTTGGTGCCAAAACTTCTAGAAAAAGATGTTGTGTGGGCGTCAAAGCGGTTTCGAGGGGAACTGGAATCACTGAACTAAGTGAATCCAACCCTTTTATACTCTATATCCTCTCTCCCACCCCCAGATCCTGCTTTAAATGCATTAACTCAGAGCCGGGGCCCTGGAGGTGATCCTCAGCTTCTCTCTAGGGTTTGGGGCTGGATCCCAGGACCCTAACATCACTAAGAAGCACAGGTTGGCTTCTACTTGGCTCTTAAAGAAGCTCTTAAACAGCACTTAAAAGCCAACACACAGTCCACTGGGAGAGCAAAATCCCTGTCAAAATAAAATAAAAAATCCCTTGTGATTATCAGAGAATAGATGCTGCTACATTCAGGTTAGACACTTTTTCAGACTTATTTGAAAGCAACAGGACACTGGCTTTGGTTTTCATTATGAGACTTTTTTTTTTTTTTTTTTTTTTTTTAGCTTATAGTGTGCTTTCAATCATAATAAAGAGCTGTATTCAGTCTGTTACTATCTCGGGAGTTCCCCCCCCAAAGGAAATAGAACACTCCTCTGCCCTCCCCCCAGAGCACCCTGCCTCACAAACCACCCCATCTTTAAGGGTCAGGCGGACTCCTAGCTGAGACCCTTACAGCTGCCCCTGGTCCTGATGCCCAGCCCCCTGTGAACAGCGGGAGGACGGAGGCGGGTCCGCTCCCCCAGAGCCTTTCCAGCGGGAGAAGAGGACCCTCAGCGGCCCGAGGACACGGCCCTTCAAAACCCATGCACACTGCGCATTGTTTTAATACACCGATGAGGTCAGTTACTTTTGAGTTAAGGAATTTATCTCGGCCCCATCTTGGAGCAGAGACCATTCTCCATGGAGCTGGTCCCTGGCTCGCCAGGCTTTGGAAAGACCAGTCTTGCCCAAGAGGGCTACATCTCCGCCCAAGAAGGAAAGGAGAGCCCTAACCGGTTTGGCTCAGTGGATAGAGCAACCGTCTGCGGGCTGAAGGTTCCCAGGTTCGATTCCGGTCAAGAGCATGTACCTTGGTTGCGGGCACATCTGGGGATGTGCAGGAGGCAGCTGATCGATGTTTCTCTCTCATCGATGTTTCTAACTCTCCCTTCCCCTTCCTCTCTGTAAAAAATCAATAAAATATATTTTAAAAAAAGGAAAGGAGAGAGTTCTCAGATCCGTGCCTCCCTGTGGGTGAGAGAAAGCTCTGGAGTTGCTGGTCCCTTTCCTCCCCACATGACCCTTAACCTCTGCCCTGCTCTCCAGTGAGGCTGCAAGG